ACCTCATCCACCCAATCCACCAGAAAATGCTCCCCAGTTTTCCCTAGGCATCCTTCTTCACTTCTCTTTACCTTTACGGCAGCTAGTTACCTGAAAACCCTCTATTATTTTCTTCCCGCTCTTGTCTTGTCCTCTTTCTGAATCCGTTCTCCACTCAGCTGCCCCTGGGATCTTCCCACAGAAACTGGAGCAGGGCTCTGCGAGGCACGGCATCCTTGAGGAACTAGAGAGCCAAACTCCTCTCCTTGTATGAACAGATCCATGGCTTGTATCAGTTGAGCTAGCTGAAATAACATGGGACCAACAACTTTCAAGGAGGAAGGTTTATTTTGGCTCATCGTTTCAGCCCATGGTTTCCTGGCCACAAGGCTTCATTCTTGTGGTGGCGTAGCGTACCATGAGGAGAACATATGGGAGAGAGGCTGCTCATCTCATGGTGGCTTAGAAGCAATGAGAGACAGGAGACGTGAGGGCCCCCGCTGTATTCACCAATGACCCAGCTTTCTTCTACTAGGCTGAACCTCCAGAAGGTTCTCCAACTTCCAAGAAGTTCCTTGTGCTGGTGACCAAGATTTTAGGACATGGTCCTCTTGGGGGAACTTAACTAAACCACCACAGACTCTCCCATTCTTGCCCCATTCTGGCCCACCAGACCCCATTGCTCTATGATCTACCAGCAGCACTGGCTTCCTGGAGTTCGCCAATTTGTCAAAGCTCGTCCAAGCTTCAAAGACTGCGTATCTTTTCCTATGGCCTGAACCGTGTTTACTCAGCTTTCTGGCTGATCACCTCTCTTTGGTCATTAAGTCTCTGCTTAAGAGTTTGTGGCTTGTAGCAAAATGGAATGATGGATGGTTTTACAAGCCAGGACTAGATGACAGACTCTGGCCAAGGTGGAATGAGGATTTAAAGGCTAGGCTTTGTCCGTGGACTGGCATTAGTTGGCTGTACTGAAATGTAGAAGTGTTCAGGCGTGCCTATCAGAAAAGTGCCACAATCTCAATGTGAGGGTTTAAAAAATGGATAGAACAGGGGGAGGTGGTCAAAAAGGAGCTGGAAGCAGTGGTAGGCCCACCGTGTGGCGATATGTTACTTATGATTTATTAAAGCTCTCCTAAGGATCCAGAAAGCAAAGTCAACCTCAGGCTGTAGAGATCAGGCAGTGGTGGTACACACCTTTGACTTCCAGGACTCAGGAGACAAGGGCAGATGGATCTCTGTGAGTTCAAGGCCACCCAGGGCTACCTGAGATTGAATCAGTCCGAAAGAGAAACAGAGTTTCATGCCTTTAATCCAAGCGCTAGAGAGATACGAAAGGTAGGAGCAGGATCTTCAGTAGTCAGTCTCAGGATTCTCCAGACACACTGAGGAGAGCAGAGCAGTCTGAGTGAGTCTGAGGAGCGGCGAAGTCGGGAGCAGTCCGAGGATCTCCCCTTTGATCTGAGCTGAGGTAGAGCTAAGAGCCTAGTGGCTTGCCTGCTTTGCTTTTCTGACTTGAAGCTTGAACTCCAATATCAGTCTCTGGGTCACTTGTTTATCTTGCTACATCACCTCCCACTGTCTTAAGAAGCTGTCTGGGGCCGCAGAGAAAATACCCTAGCAAATGCCTTTCTTCTGGACCTGCTTGCTGGCATGGGGGGCATCCTCCCTAAGGTCTGGCATTTCCATTCCAGATTAGTCTATAGGACTGCTTTGTATTTTTACATCTGTAGTTCCTGCCGGCTGGGCAGCCTTCCTTGCCGTTGCCTAAGTCAAGTTACTCTGGTGTCTTGCACATGTACTTATAGAAAAAGAATCTTCCAGATCAGAAGGTGGCCAAGTTTCTCCAGAAATGCAGCTGTATGATTCCCCACCGAGAGAGAGGAGAGAGAGAGCGAGCTGAGCAGCCCCAGGAACCCGAGCTCCCAGGGGCACCCGCAGTGGGAACATCCCAAGGCCATCTGTCTCACATCACAGCCAACTCAAAAAAGCATCCAGAAAATGGTGTGAATTACTGCTTACCAAAAATAGTAATGATGGGGGGGGGACCCAAAGCTAAGATCCGCCCACCATATGCCTTCCCACGCAGTGTGAGAACGGTTAGACGAGCCCATTTTCACATTATCGACAGCAGATTTTTTTTTTTTCAGGAAGGGACGTTCTCACTCAACCTACTGTCTGCCTTTCCTGTGTTCGGCTGTTTACCATCCCAACGAGCAGCAAGCCCACTTCAGGTTAGCACAGAGGAGGGGGTAATCTTCATTTCCCATTTAGCTTGGACTGATGCAGCGGGGGGGGGGGGGTTGTGTTGTTTTACACATTGAACACACACAGCCACATGCAGTAGGGAATGACAAAGAAATGCTGATATTGAGAAATAAATAGAACTGGGGCTTTGGGGGGGGGAAGAAATGGAGATCGGTTAGGAGAAACTTGTAGTGGGGCTCAGGAGAGGGCTCAGTTCGCGCAAGCACGAGGAACCAAGTCTGAGTTCCTAGCACCCTGGTAAAATCTGGTGCAGTGGTATGTGTTTATAATGCTGACAGTGCTGGAGGTAAGGGGTGGTAGGGGGTGGAGATGGGCAGGTCCCCAGGACTCACTGGCCAGCCGACCTAGCTCCAGGTTCAGGGGGAGACTGTCTCCAAAAATAAGATGGAGAGAGAGAGAGAGAGAGAGAGAGAGAGAGAGAGAGAGAGAGAGAGAGAGAGAGAGAGAGAGAGAGAGAGAGAGAGACTGAGGCAGATAAACAGTACCAACTTCTGGCCTCCATGTTACACATGTGCACGCACACGCACTTGCACACACATACATACCCCGAATACATAGATGCAAAGAAAAAAAAAGTAGTGACAGGAGGAGAAAGGGGTGAGAAAGGAGAGGATAACAGGTATGGAATATGCTCTACCTGTGTTATATACGTGAAAATGCCCTTGCATAACCTAGTATAATAAGGTAAAATAATTTTCCCTTTTGTAACAGAAGAGTATGTGGTCATTTACTGCTGTCTGGACCATGATCCACTTAAATGGTCATAGAAACGCAGAGTTCAGGGAGTTCTGACTTTGATGAAGAAACCACAACTACATGCTTGGGGGGTGAAAAGAAACCAGGCACAGTGGCACCACGTTTCTACTCGTGGTAGAGAGGCTGTGGTTTATTATTCCACACGACACATGTGCAAACCCAGGGCGGATTCACATTTGAGCACATCATTTTAATTTACATAATACATCTTCAAGTCAAGATTTGCCCCCAAGAGGATCAAAGGGAAGAAAGATGGAACCCATCCATCCATGGCTCTGTGCGTTCTCATCCCAGGGCTCATTCTGGTGAGATTTGGAGGTAACAGGAGGGATTCAGGGTTTGGGATGAAATTTTCTGTATAGATCCTGCCCTCTGTGTGTGTGTTCATTTCAGGAACTCACAGATGTTTTACGTAGGGAACTGGAGAGTGTGTATTGCTTTTGTGGAGGACTGCAGTTTGGCTCCCGGTACTCATATGAGATGGCTCACAATCGCCTGTAATTCCAGCTGCAGAGAATCCAATGCCCTCTTCTGGCCTGTGGGTACCTGCACATGTGTGTGTGTGTGTGTGTGTGTGTGTGTGTGTGTGTGTGTGTGTGTGCGCGCGCGCACGGACACAGGCATATACACATAAATAAAAATAAAATTTAAATCATTTTACCCATTCTATTCCTCTATGTCTATTTAGTAGGTAACAGGAGCTCTTTTAAAGAGGGTGGAATGAACTGTAAGTTACTCTCCCAACCCTTCACAAACCAACAAATCGTTGTAATCAGTAGCTTTGCTCTCTCACCAGATATGACTCCCCCCACGAATGCGCGTGTGTTGGCATGTGCTTATGCCGAAGAACAGAGTGCTAACTGCTCACTTGAGCATATTTCTGACCTCGCTGACACTAACTCTTAAGTGGGTGCTGCAGTTTGGATGTGTTTTCTCAAAAATTAAAAACTCCTGGGAAATACAGTTGTCAACAAAGCTGTGTTTGGGAAGCAGGGCCTTCAGAAGTGGATTTGATGCATTTCCCTTAAGTCTGATTAGTTCTCACAAGAACAGATTAGTTCTCGGGAGAGGGCAAATCTGCCATCTTCGAATTTCCCTGACTTCCTCTATCATGTGATACACACTTGTTCTTCCACTTTCTGCCCTGCATTTATCTTCTGATACTGGCAAGATAAACCTGTTTACTGTATAAACCGCTGGCCTCTGGTAATCTGTAACAGCATCAGAAAATGGGCTAAGACTAAGCTAAGCTTTTTTTTTTTAATTATGAAGCTGTTGGCCGAATGCTTGGCTTCTTACTGGCTAGCTCAGACATAAGTATTTAACCCATAATTGTTAATCTAAGTATTTCTCTTACCGGAGAAAAGGGTCCGGACCTCTTACTCTGGCAGCCTACAATCATGTCTGACTCTGCCTCTCCTTCCCAGAATCCTCCTTGACTCCTAGTCCCACCTATCTTGCTTCCCTATTGGCCAACAAGTGCTTTATTCAACAACCAATAAGAGACAGATTTACAGAATGACATCTCCCATCATCTCCTCTTTTCTGTCTAAATGAAAAAGAAAGGTTTTAACTTTGATAAGCTAAGCTTAGCTCTGACATTCTCTCCTGTACTTCTGTCTCCACCAGCTCTGATGCTCCAGCAGGCAGTATGAAGCCAGTGTGCCCGTGCCTGTTGCACAGTCTAGCTGCTGGCTGAAAAGAGTGGGTGTGCCCTGAACCCTCATTTTCTTTCAGCCTTTCTCTCCCCAGCCTTTACTGGCTTCCATTCTCACGTTTACTTGGTGTCTCTCTTCGTCCCTTCTCTCGGCGTCAAGCCCATTTTTGCCCTTTTCTCTCTTGCACACATACACACACACACTCTGTCTCAACATGGCCTCCCAGGAGCTATTCTTGCTCCCCCTGGCCCGTTCTCATTTCTTTCTGGCAATTTCCTTCTCCTTCAAGAATTAGTCTAGCTTTGCACAAGGCAGCCCCCCTCCAGCTAGTGATTGACGCAAGATGCATTCCCTGGCAACAGAAGCTCTTTTTTTTTTTTTTTTTTGGTGACTCGCATCCATGGAGAAGAGCTTGGAGACGACCTTATTTCTGGTGTATGCGCGGGGAGGTGTTGCCCCCGCCACCCGGCTCTCCAGCAGTGTCACAGAAGGAGGCCAAAGGGACTTTTCCATGAGCCGGAGTCCCCAGTAGGGCAAAGTCAGTGTTAGTCATTCTCTTTCGCCCCCCGTAAGCCAAGGAGGGACACTGTTGAGAGAGAAACAGCAAAGTCACGGGAGTAAGGAGGAGGGATGGGAGACGCGAAGAGCACGGTGTGAACGCTGGGAGGAAGACTTTGAAGAAGGTCGAGTCACCAAAGGAAGTCACAGCTAATAAAAAGTGCTGGGGAGGCTTCAGGAAGAAGGGTGGATTCAGGCACCAGGCACAGGGGCTCTTGTGGACGGCTGAGGGCTTGGGAGCGGTGTGCACAAGAGGAGTGAGGTTGGCTATTGGAAAAGGGGACAGAAGCGGGGTCCCTGTACAGAGATGTGGAACCAGAGTGGTTACATTTGCTGTTCCAGCCAGGCCCTGTCTGGAAGGTGGGGAGTACCAGGGTACCTGGAAACTTCTCTCTCCCTTAGTATGCTGACTGGCTAGTTTTTTTTTTTTTTTCAACTTGACACAGGCACACTGAGGGAAGCCTGAGCAAAAGAGACCTCAAATCCCGCCCCCCCAGTGACACACTTCCTCCTGCATGGCCACGCCTCCTAATAGCGCCTCTCCCTTTGGGGGCCATTTTCTTTCAAACCACTACAGCAGCATTGGCCATGGAACCCAGAGCTTCATGCATCCTAGACAAGCTCTCCATCCAAGGCTTACTATTGCATTAACAATGTGGTCAGGGAGCTGGGCAGCGGTGGCCCAAGCCTTTTTAATCCCAGCACTTGGGAGGCAGAGGCAGGTGGATCTCTGAGTTCGAGGCCAGCCTGGTCTATAGAGTGAGTTCCAGGACAGCCAGAGCTACAGAGAAACCCTGTCTCAAAAACCAAAACCAAAACCAAAGCACAAACAAAAGAATGTATGTGGCCAAGGGCTGGGGAGACAGCTCATCCAGTAAGTCCGAGGCTCTGAGTTCAATTCCCAGGGCCCACATTGAAACAAAAAATGGGCTTTGTGGTCCTGTGATCCCAGCACTGAGAATGGGTCCTCAGTGACCTAAGGATCGCTCACTAGGCCCCATCTCAGCCCCAGCTCCCAGCCCATTCCTAACCCCAACTCTGCACCTGCCCCTAACTCCAGCAGCAATCCTTTTGTTAGTCACTGGCTAACACACAACCACAAACACAGCAGCTGCTGTACTTTCTGACTCTGGGTCTGGTGTGAGGGGCTCTAACATTCATTCCTTCCCTAGAGAGGAAACTGCTCAGGGAAAGGTTAAGAGCCTTGTGCAGATTTCCAGGGAGCCGTTGTCTCCTGAGCGCTGGCATGTGGTTCCGTTTATTATTTCTCTTTATAGCCCCAGGGTCATAAAATTAGAGAGTGGTGGCCCCGTGCAGTTTCCCAGATTTCCACGTCATGTTTGGACACTCTCGGAGCTCCTGATCAACGTTACTGTGTGACTGCAATGACTGTAGCTAAGGATTATGGGGGTTGATTTATTTATGGTTATTAAAGAGAGGGGTGAGGGGTAGGTAGTGAAGCAAAACAAAATTAGACGTTTTGGAGTAAACCTATGCTTTTGTGAAGAAAGGGCTAGTGATTTCAGGCAAATTTGTATCTTGAATGTGCTTTGTATGAGGAACGTGCATGCCAGGTCACCCCCCCCCCCCCCCCCGTGCTCACCCCCAAGCCAGGACCACCCAAGCAGAGTCTCAATGGGAGAAATGTTGGTCTCCAGGATCCTGGGAGCTGGGACCTGCTGAGGCATCTGCCTACCTGCCTGAGCCTGAGCTGGCCTGCAAGAGGCAGCCATCTCCTGCTCTGTCCCACACAGCCATCCCAGCCTTCAGCCAAGCAGCAGGTCATTTGCCTTCTATCCCAGTCTTGAATGACAGGGAATCATTCTCTTTGAAGTGGGCTAACCATGAAACAGTACCAAACGTTTCCTTTGTTGTCCTTCCAAACCAGGGCTCTGACAGTGAAAAAGAGAAAGAAAAACAAACAAATAAATACTCCCTTCCAGATGCCCATAGTGAGCATTCTTCCAAAATACACAATGTGTAGAGAAATACCTGTTTTCACTGCAGTGCCAACAAACAGATAACGCACGCCAAGCTACCTTTGTGTGATCACCAGGTATATGTAGTCTTGTGTAACATACACAAGAACCCGGGTGCAGGAGTTACTGAGGTCCCCTGACAGAGCTGAAGAGAGGAGGGTTCACCATTTCCAGTTTGTACTAATTCCCACTTGAGTATACGTGGACCTTTGAGCTCACACCCTTGACTTCAGATAGCATGTTCTCTCTGAAGTTAGGTGTCCTCACTTGAGACCAATGGCTTCCTCACCAACTGTGCCCTTGTTCCTAAATGGGAGTGACTTCTCCCTCAGGAGAAGTGTGTGTGTGTGTGTGTGTGTGTGTGTGTGTGTGTGTGTGTGGGTGTGTGTGTGTGTGTGGTGTGTTGGGGGGTGGCACACGTGTGTGCATTTGCACACATGCATTCATTTGGAGGCCAAAGGTCAATCTCACATCTCTTCCTCATCCCTCTCCATTTCGATTTTGGAAACAGGGTCTCTCACTTTTGTTTGCAATTCTTCAAGCTACTTGGCCACCAAGTCCCATGGATCTGTCTGTCTTTGCCTCTCTAGTGCTGGGATTGTAAATCTGCACCAATATCCTCTGCTTTTGAATGTGGATTCTGGGATCTAAGCTCGGGTGTGGAGCAAGCCCTTTACTGGCTGGATCTTTTTTCCAGCCAGCATGTTGGCTTATGAGGTTAAGAGATTTTCACGGCCAGCAGAATGGCAATGTACCCATTGTGCAAACCTGATGACCAGAATTCGATCCCTGGAACCCAAGGAAGGAGAGAATGAACTCCCGAAAGCTGTCCTCCGATCTACTTACCTACTGCGACACAGCACCCCTATATATCACACGCACCCCTACACGCAACTAACAGAGACACGCAGACAAATATATATGCAATAATAATAAATAAAAATTGAAAAGTAATTCGTGATTTAAAAAAGGAGAAACAACCTTGGGAGAATTTGCCCTTTTGAGGTCAGCTCAATGTTTTAAGAAGCATGTAGGGGGACTGTGTACATCTCTCCCCAGCTCCGGTTTGGTGACATCTGAGAGTATTTATACCATAGCAATTGGCAAATGCTACAAACATGTCATTTGTTTTAAGAATGTACCAAACGTTTTCCAGAACTCCTGGGTCTGAGCCATCCTAGTACTTACAGTCAGGAATCACAGTGCGGTGACCCACAGGCTGGAGATCACAGGACACACAGCAGTGAGGTGGACGGGGTTCATAATGTTCTGGTGGCCCACATGTCCTGTCTAAAGCAGACAATGGCCACAAGACCCAGCTGGCTCTTATTATGAGGGGACACAGACCCAGTGGTAACATCTTCTGATATTTTTCAGGAGAGGCTGAGACCCGGAGTTTCAGATGGAACCTCCATTTTAAAACACTGGCACCATGTTTTCTTTTTTTTGTTTTGTTTTTTTTAAACATCCAACTCATTATCAAGCCAAAAGAAATGCATCTCTCAGCAGAGTTAGCTCTGGGCTGCCAGTGTGTGATTCCTACTTAGGCTTGATGAGCTCATTGCTTTTCGTCACTGTTCTTTGTCCTAAGTGCCCTTGTACTTGAGAAGACATGGCATACGTGACAGTTCTCCACGCCCACCCTGAGCCTCCCACCCCTGAGCCTCTTCTACTCGTGATCTGTTCCTCTCTCTCTCTCTTTTTAACTTATTTTTAAATTTAAATTAGAAACAAGGTCGCTTCACATGTCAATCCCAAGTCCCTCTTCCTTTCCCTCCCCTCCTCCTGTGCCCTCCCACCAACCCCCCCAGTACTCCCTCATTTCCCTCCATGAGGGTGTCCATAGTCTGTCATTTCATCCAGGGCAGGGCCTAGACCCTCCCCCAAGAGTCCGATCTGTTCCTCCCTTAAAGAGCTTGTTTATGGGTTTGTATAATTCCTGCATAAGTTTTTCCTCCTGGTAGCCTGAAAGTTCCCTAGAGATAAAAATCTGTGTCTTGGACAATAGATATTCAGTAAATACTAGTAAACTTAAAAGACTATCCAGCCAGAAAGACAAGCTTAGATGAGACACTTCAGAGGCATGATGACAGCCTTGGACGGACTTCACATCATGGCAACATTCATGAGACACACTCAAGGGAGGGTTTCTTTGTCCTGAACATGTTGATGTATGTAAATGGGGTTTTCTGAGTCAGCTTCGTGGTCCAAAGAGGGAACTTCCCCATAGCCTTGTGGTTGACCACATTCTGAATGAATAGAACATGAACATGTTCCTATTCACTTAAAATTTCCACCTGATCAAAACAAAAGTCCTTGTGAGTACTGGTGTATGTACAAGTGTGTATGAGTGCAGGTATGTGTATACACACGTACAAATATGCATTCATGATCACGGGCATGTAGAGGCCAGGGGCCCACATTGGGTATCTTCCTCAATCTCTTTCTTTTTAAAAACATATTTCATTTATTAATTTTTTTATGTGTGCGGGGTATTTGTGCACAAGGGTAGAGATCAAAGGATAACTTTCAGGAGTTAATTCTCTTCTTCAACCACTCGGATCAAACTCAGGTTTTCAGACTTGGGGCAGTAACCGTTAGCTGCCGAACCATCTTGCTGGCCCCTCCATCATACCTTTTAAGACAAGGTCTCTCACTGAACCTGGAGTGAGCTCCAGGAACTTCTCTGCCTGCCTCCACATACCAGGATTAGAAATACAAGCCATCACACCCTTTAATTGCTTCATTCGATTGTTTTTTAAACAACCTATGCTAAATCGTGAATTTGTGTGATCATTGAGAGACTGTATCATTCTGTGGGGCAGTCAGAGTCTACCTGTAATATTATGTAAGTAGTATACCTCATAAGACAGTCAATAAGGTGCCTGTGTAGTGGGAAGGGACAGGTTTTCATGATCTTTGACTGAGCAGGGACCTGAGGTCCAGAGAGGTATAACGGATCCCTAGAGATCCCCAGGCCATCACAGATCACTTCCTAGGTGCCCTAGGAAGAAGAAGCCGCAAGTACTACAACCCCATCCTTGGCTATCGATTTCACTGCAGCACTGGTTTCAGAATGTTAGTCACTGGATCTTTGTATTTAGGTACCACAAAGGTGTTTCACATTTGTTTGTTTTTGTTTCATGAAGGTGTAGGGAGCTGGCCTGTCTCATAGAATCCTAGCTGTTGATTGTCCAGGAAAGGGAAACCAGAAGGAGGTTGGAGGTAGCCCATGTTGCCTCCTGCTTATGCTCAGGCTTGATCTGAGACCTCAGAACTCCCTGATTTTATTCCACTGAGAAGGGAGCCTGGCTCCAAGGAAGTGGTTTGAAGTAAGGAGACCCAAACCCCTGGTGGAGGTGGATTGTCTATGTGATGATAATAACGATGCCTCCTTACTTATATTAGCTTGAGCTGCTTTTGCCTGGCAGATCAACAGATATGACTCAGTCTATGCTTTCCTTCTCCTTTGTTCCTCTCATCCTCCTGGGTGCTGGCAAATGTGTTTCCCTGGCCTGGTGGCGCAATCACTTCTTCAGTTTGCTAGTGCTAAACCACCACGTTCTTGTATTTCCTTAACGTGAAGCGCTTTTCAAAATCTCAGACTTGCTGTTTAAAAAGTACCATTTGATTCAGCTAAAGTTCCAAGGAGACACTCACACATAGCTGTCAACCAAGAAGACTGCTGGCCTGTGCCTGGTGGTGCCCTTACTGTTCACAAAGGCTCAGGGCTGCTATTACCTTGCTGGGTGGATCTGGCCTTGATGGCATCAGAGATACAACTCTGCTCTTGCCTGGATCAGTGGAGATACAGCACTCTTTAAGTATACACTTGATTTATTTTAATGTATTTATATTATATTATATACCATTATAAATAGTACATAAAATAGTATGTTTAGAATAAGTATTTCCCATTTACATTTTCATTTGCGTGGTGTGTGTGTGTATACACGTGTGTATGCACACAGTAGGTGAACGTTCATATAGAAATGTCAGGAATGTTCTCAATTGCTTCACCTTATGCACTGTGGGAGTCTGTCAATCAAACCCATAGCTCACTGATATGGCTAGTCTTGCTAACTAGTTTGCTTTGAATTTGAGGCAAAAAGTACAGGTGGGCCATCATGCTCACCTGGCATTTATGTGGGTTCTGGGAATCTGAACTCTGGTCTTCATGCTTGTATGGCAAGTACAATAACCACTGAGCAGTCAACCACACCAAGATATATTTTTATGTATACGTGTTTTTGTGTGTACATCTCTATGTATAAGATCCCGTTACAAAATTCATTGGTTTTTCTTGTTCTTGAGATGGTCAAGAGTTTGGACTGGTGAGGAGAGCCACATATGGACATGAATATGTTTCTATACATTATATATAATAATCTATATGTATGAACATGAATAAATACCCTCTGCTGTTGTTATCTTTTGCTGGGCCTGTTTTTTTTTTTTTTTTTTTTTTTTTGGTGCCTGGGGACACCAGGTCTGGAGCACAGGGCCAGCTGGCACGGGGGAGGAAGTCAGGATGAGCTGAAATGCTTTTTGCATGTCGAGTAGACATGATTAACAAAACCAGACCTTATGGGGATCTCGACCTTTGGTTGTGCTTGGACCACTGACTGTTAATGTTCTTCTGAGTTTTAAACCACAGTGCACAGCCTCCTCTGCTGGTCACTGGCAGGAACATGACCAACCCTGACTTTTCATTTAGTCAGCCTGCATTTACCATGCAGGCACCAGCTTTCATCTGTGCTAACAGATTTCACATGTGGTCTCCACAGCAGTGACATTGCTTTCACACAAAGACTTCAAGACATGCTGGCCCGCAGACCTACCTGAACCTGTCCAACCAGAAGCCAGGGCTGGGCCCCAGGATCTGTGTCCAACAAATCCTCCAAGAGACTCTGACACGACCTAAATATGGAGAACAACTGTTTCAAGTATGAGAAATGAACGCATGGAAAAAAAAACTTCTGGGTATAGCTTTCAGGGCCATGATGCATGGTAAAATCATAAAACAAGGTGACACTCCACTGCTTAAATATGCACATATATGTACACACTTTTCCAGTCAGAGAATATGAGGCCACACTAGAGAAATGATGAATTTATGTTTTGGTGAAATACCACTATGTCCTTTGAAGCTAGGCCACATTTTAGTAAATTCTGAAATTGTTCGGCTATGATGTAATGTTATAATTTTACCGTGATCAAGTCTAACAGCCTTGGAGACTTTGCTTACCGATGGTGCATAACTTGATTCAGTTTCCTTTCTGGTTGCCGTGATAAAATACTCTGAAAAAAGTCCATTCCTGAGGGGAAGTCAAGGCAGTGGGAATTTCATATCACTTCCACAGTCAAGAGCAGAGCGCAATACACTAATGTATTCAGCTCACTTTCCACACTCTTGTATAATCCAGGATACTATACCTAGGGAATGGTGCCACCCACAGTGGGCAGATTTTTTTTTCACTGATCAAGATTATCCCCCACAGGTCAACATAATTTAAGCAATCCCTCATTGAGACCTCCTTCCCAGGTGAGATTACAGATTATGTCAATTTGAGATTAAATACAAACTGTGGTGGTCTGTGATGGAGTTTAGATGCTAGAAAACACTATCCTGTGTTATTGCTCCTGTCTGAAAATCAAGAACACGACTGGAAATGCCTTGTATCAGTTCTACCAAAAGAATGTGACCAGAGGTTGAGGAGTTCAGTTTGGCACACAGTGCTTGCCTAGTGTGCAGGAAGCTCTGGGTTCTATTTCCAGCATACCATAAAACTTGGTGTGGCAGCATATGCCTGTAATTCAAGTCCTCTAGAGGCAGAGGCAGGGGGATCAAGAGTCCGTGATCATCTTCAGCTTTTTAGGCTAGCCTGGGCTACCTAAACATGTTTTTAATTTTTTTTTAACATTAGTAACATGGCCGGATTTGTGTTGCTTTTCTTTCTCCCTTTTACCTTCCTTCCCTTCCCATCATTCCTCCCTGCAACTTCCACCCCTCCCACCTCATCTTCCCTCCTTCCCACCCTTCCTTCCTCCCTTACAATCTACTTCTCTCCCTCTTCTTCTTTCTTGCACTATGTGAGAACTTTCAAATGTGACGGAGCTCTTCTTTCCTCAGCCACCTGTTTAAATTTATCTCATACACTTGGTTTCTTTTATAGAAAAGAGATGATGAAGGAACGGGGTTGCCTTATAGGCATTCAACGTGTATCGCGGTGAAACATCCTTCACACTTACTGTCTAGTTGCCCAAGCAAACTGACCTATGCTTTTGCAGGCTGGGAGCTCCGGAGTAGCTTGACCTAAGTCTTTTCCTTAGCCCATTGCACCTGTGTCTGTGGAGTCCTGGGTCTGGCAACCAGCTTATCTTTGGTCTCAACCCTTTTCTCATTTGGATGTTGCCCCTGCTCTGTCTGTTCATGACTTTAAGTCAAAATACACTGCAGAGGAGGCTCTGAAGACGGACCCAGACATTAGGGCACACGTAGTACTTCCAACAGTAGAACCTTAGGTGTCACATGGAAGTCTCCAGGACACTCGGTGGGGTGTCAGGCACAGTACCCAAATACTAGCCACTGAAGATACTAGAGCTTGTGTTCAGAGTTCCAATGAAGGGACATTCCAACATCAGGTATACTAGAAAATTGTAACAGGTGCCATCCTCAAGCTAAAGGTTTGGAATTTCTATTTGAGCAGATGAGAGTCGTGTGTGTTTCAAACAGGGCGCTTTATATGCTAAAGCTGAGTATTCTTGAGAAACAGACTTTGTATTGGCAGGTCATTGGGGGTTTCCAGAGCAATAGGAGTACTCCACAGGATAAACAAGCATCACTAGCACCCGCAAACTATACAATACCCCAGTGACCCTTGTGTGAACTGGGGACTTGGGGATAATGATAACAGGTCACTGTGGGGTTCTCTATGGTAACAGATGTCCTGCTTTGGAGTGGGATGGTGGTGGTGACGAGCTGTGTGTGTTGAGGCAAGAACACATGAGGACTCTGTGTTATACTCCATTGTGCTGTAACTTAAAATTGCTCTAACAATAAAGTCTACTAACAAAATGTAATTTATCCTTAGAGAATGGAAGAATTGTTTTAAAAACATATTTCTCCCAATCTGTGTGTCACATCTGACCACTATATTTGGGAAATTATTGGAAGAACCTGCACTCTGGTCTGACATTGTAACTGGCCTGGCAAAAAATGAAGATCTTCTAAAGAGACTTTGTTTCTCAATCTGACTATCAGACTATTGGAACAATGTATCCCTGGGGAAGTGGGACTTTCCCCCAGGAGTCTCATGCAGGGAGGAGAAAAGGCACCCAGCCAGACAGGGAACTTGTGTCCCAGAAAGAGATGTCACACAGTTTTAACAACTTGTCAGAACACCTTACAGACAGAAGCCCAGACACTGATGGGTCAGTGGTGGGCGGGACCACACCTTGGTTGGCACTGCTTGGATGTGCATGTCCTTGGATCTGTATTCAAATGTTGGTCTCACTTCAGGATCCTGAAGGTGGACTGGAGGAGCTTGATGCACGCTGAATAAATCTCTGTTTTCCACTTTTAATTTGATTCTTTGTATTGGCTTACTGGGAATGACTGGCCAGACCTGACTTGGCTGTGACTGCTGGCATTCAGTAACAACATAACAACCTTACTTTTGAAAACACAGCTGACCAGATGGTTAGTTAGGCACGCGCGCGCGCACACACATACATACACACACACACACACACACACACACACACACACACACACACACACACACACCAGGAGCAAAGGCTGAACGGCTCCCGGAGTTGTGCAAGCGGCCAGAGAGTAACACTGAGAAAACTAAAAAATGGAAAACAACGGAGCACTCAACCCTCCCTCAACTTTGCAATCATAAATACAATAAAATCTGCTCAGCAATTCCCAATTCAAGACATTGCTCATCTGGTAGGAAAATACACGGAGACAGGACATGCCAAACAAGCACCAAAAACTAACGAGGGGCCTTGCTTGACTTTGTTTCGGTGAGGTCTGAGGTTTCTCAAATCACCTGTTTGTTCCTGGGTGACCTGTGGGGTTTGGAATCAGGATGTAAGCTGATGACTGGTGAGCCCCAGGCAGACACATCAGCCCTGCACTCTGCAGTTGGGAAGGGTTCTTGGAAGCCCATCCTTTGCGAATAGCCCCTGCTTGTTTGCTTTTCTAGTGACCTTGTGTTTATTCAAGCCTTTTCCTTCTGAGAGAGAAGGCTTAACCTTTTCTTTTCTCTTTTTTGTTATGATCTGCTTTTCTTTATTACCATTGCAGCTGAGAAGAATAAAAACACTGAAGACAAAATAAAAGAAAGCAGAGCCCAGGAGAAAGCCTGGGGAGGAGGCGACATTTGCCTGTTGGTGTGTCTGGGTGCGGCTGGCGGCACACACATTCCTGGGCAGCTGCGGTGCTTGAAAACACAGGCTGTCATTTCCCTTGCATGGAGGTATAAACCTCCCGGCGATGTGTGTGGCCTCTGTGAAGACACAGCGTCTGTCCCATTCAGGAACAGCCCTCAGTCCACTGGGGCCCCATGGCAGGCAGGATGTTTGCTGTTTAAATAAATAAACTGATCAGAGGCTTGGGGGCTGTGAAGGCTCCCTGCCCCCCCTCCCCCTCTCCCTCTCTCCCTCCCTCCTTCCCTCCCACAAGGCAGGTCCCAAAGTAGGGAAAAAGGCCCACCAACAGAATGGAGCCACCAATGCCACCCACTGTGACTCACCCTTCTCCCAGTCCCTGGTCAAATGGTGCCAGGCAGCCAGCAGTTGTGGTCAGTACTCGGCTATTGGAGGCATCTGAGTGTGTCACTAGAGCTGCTGTGACCAGGGCCTTCCTAGAAATGCCAGGGACAGAGGGGAGAGGGAGGCCCCCCCCTGCCTCTCTTTTTTGCCTAGGTGCTTCGAATCCTTGTCCCCCTTTTCCGGGAGGAAGTTGAGAAGCTTGCCTTGTTCTTTCATTGACTTCCCTTCCGGCCTTCCTATTGATCAAGATCTTCTAGGAATCCCAGTGCTTGGGATGCAAGCTCTAGCTCCTAAAGAAGCCTTGTCAGAGATACAAATTCTGTCAGAAAACAGCTCAGGGACAGGCTCAACTGCTCACAGTTACCTGCCTTTCTGGAGTCAGCTCACAGTTACCTGCCTTTGTGATCAGCCAGATCACCCACACACTCAAGAGTAGAGTTCTGTGGGCTCTATGGACCAGGGCTTCCTGGAAGCCTGATGTCTGTACAGGTACTCAGCATCCGCTTAGAGACGAACAGATGACAACACTGGATTGGCATTCTCCTCTTATTTTTTTTTCTAAAGTTTTCTCTGTCCTGCTCCCTGCAACTCTTCAAGGTTGTTGCCAGAACAGCAATGGGTCTGATAGATGAGTAAGAGTCTCCTGCTGTGATTGGCTCTAATGGGGGCAAAGATTAAAAAGTAGAAAGACGTGGCATCTCAGCTCCACACAACTGAAGTAATTAAAACCGGAAGTTGCGTTTTGAGGCTATGTCAGTGTGGACACTGGAAGCCGGCATGCACTAAACAAGGAGTGCGAGCTCAGTGTGGAGGCGCATGCCTCTAATTCCAGCTCTCAGTGGGCAGAGGCAGGCAGCTCTCTGTGTTCCGGGCCAGCCTGGCCTACAGGGTGAGTTCCAGAAGAGCCAGGGCTACATAGAGAAACCCTGTCTCGAAAAACAAAAAACAAACAAAACAGGGCTGGATTCCAGAATGGGGGCTTTTACACGGCTGTTTCGCAGAGCTTGTGAGATTTGGTCCTTGTGATAGTCTCCCTTGGATCAGGAGGCTGTTTATATGAGCTCCTACGCACTGTCCCTGTGGGTGGGGGTCTTACAGAGGAGGTGAATAAATACAGCCAGACTAAAATCCCTAGG